TAATTAGATACACGAACTTCTTGACTACTTCTATCTGCTCACCATCCAGGGTGAGTACAGGATTAGAATCCTGTCAGTTTTGTAGAAGTACTTTGCACCTCGAAGGTGCGGGATCGTGGATGCGCACTGCTGTGGAGTCCTATACTAGGACGAAACGGCCGTACAGTGCTTCCAAGTTTTCCATAGTGGTCTAGCTTCAACTAACTCATGATTTCAGTCTGTGGAATTTCTAAAATTTCCACAAACCCCTTCTTACAATAATTATGTGTTCAAATAAAAAAAGAAAATAATAATGTAATTCAAGAAGAAAACATGTTTTAGTTTTTTAAACTAAGCTTATAAGATAATTGGGGATTCAAGGTGGTAGAGAAATAAAAAGGTGAATGAACTTAGGGCCTTGCGAATGATGCTAAACAATGTCACTCAAAATCTCTAACCATTGGTTGTGGTGATCACGTAGTCTTGAACTGATTAGTTTTGGTCGACCTACACGCATCACTCCAACAGTCAGTTGCTTTATAAACTGATGCTACGTCTTGTTTAAAGATCCACTAGCGCTCTTCCAACTTACTTGTATGACGATGTATACGGCGGATAGTCATATTTATTTATTTATTTGAACACATAAACATTGGTACAATGGGGCACCAAATAGATATGCGCCACACAATAACAATGAAGCCAGTGGCAGTTATCATTGATTTGTGTGAGGGTTGTGATACTGTCCGGGTGCACAAACCGAAGCAAGTGGTTTTCTCAGTGAACCACACCAGGAGCCTTAAACCTAAGGGTCTAATGCACAAGACAGTGGAGCAACGTTAGAAAATGCAGTCCCATGGTAGCTGGTGACCAACAGCAGTTTCATCATGTCATTTGTTCCTTCAGGATCCTTGAGTTCATTTCTATCAGAGTTTTCCAATTCCCCTAGATAAATCCTCCATATCTACGGAACCGGTTAATGTGCCGGACATTCGCTTTCCGTCCTCTCAATTTCGTAAACAACACCCCCGCCACGAGAAGGCAGTGAGTAGAACTTCTCTGGTAGTGGTTGTATACGCCTGGCTATGTGAGAGCAATCCGAGAAAGCGGATTCTCCTCACCCTCGGCCGTATCAGGGAATTCGGGGGCCAGGAAAATCATACGCAATGCATGTCACGATCACCTCGGTTGATGAAGATGCACTACCTTACTAACCAATTTTTTCCATAATTACCTAATACCCTGCATCGAATCTCAGCATTACTAACTCGATAGCTCCGATATGTACGAGCAATAATTCGAAGACATCTATCACCGAATACTAGTAACCTATAAATATCCCCTATTTTTAATAGCCACGTCTCATAGTCATGAAGTAAAATGGGACGAACTATCATACAATATACTGGCACGTTAGTTGGAAGATGGATATCTCGCCTACGCCACCAGTAACACGAGTTAGCGAAAGCCAAACTCTTTCTGGATCCATGCTAAAATTTGGTCACATATAAACCTACGAGGGTTGACTAGTTAAGGGGGATGACTGACACACTGAACTACTTCATTCCATATCTTTAGTTCTGGCGTTGAGGCAGACATTAACGCAGGCTCAATCTCAAAAAATACTCTTATAGTTTTGAGTCGGTAGGTGCATCTGTGTTCTAGGACCTAATGAAGAGCTATTACTTGATAGACATATCTAGGTGTGAAATCAGCCAAGTTTTCTCGTGTTTGGTGTTCACGAACCCTAGTAAAGCGTTCGATTATTATCAAGGTCAGTACTTTAGACCCTATATTAGGTAGACGTATTCTTCTGTGGTAATCACGAAACGATTTTTACTGGAACGACCTGCTATTGCGACCACACAGATGAAATTGTATCCAGTCTCAAGTCTAACTTATATCTCAGACAATCTAACACCTGAAACAACTAACATCCCTAAAGACCTGGAGTTTTAGTCAGTCAGAGCATGCTGTTCTCTGTTGCCTTAAATTGGCCTCAGCCATGGACTTTTTAACTTCACTGACATAGCGTTGCCTGGTATTAGTAAACGATTAGATGGTAGCTAGATTGAAGTTGAACTGTTATTTACATTCTTCTGCCCACCGTTCCAGTCTCAGGCTGTGATTACATTATCGTTCTGTCTTTTTGCAAAATATACCAACTAACAGCTGAATTTTTAATTCCTACTTCCTTAAGGAGTCTGAAAAGTGTTCTACTGTTGCCTGACGCGACCTGTTTTGCCATCGCTTATGCTTTCGCTAGGAATGATCACTTTGTGGACGTTTTATTAGTCTAATTCTAAGCTTTTTGGGCTTCCTGTCATGTTTCAAACCTAATAAAATGTCTTTTCAGGCATTTATCAACTTGGTAAGCGCTACCGGAATCGACTGATTTTACTAGCTTTTTGGTTATGGTTATTGGTAGATATCACCGCTCATTTTACAGCTATCTGGATATCATTCCAACCTACATCGAAGTGAAAATCATTTTGGGGATCGATTAACTTTACATCTAATTCATCCCCAAATATGCATATGGTTGTGTATTAGTCAGTTTTAAATTATTGTAAATTATCGTGACTTAGTAACCAAGTGTGTAACAGAATTTTTTGTCACATTGTGTTGGAATCAAGAGTAGCAACTAGTTATTATTGTAACGTAAAGCATAGTGTGATTCCTTTAATATATTTTTGGGACTTATAATCAGTTCCTCCTAACATACTTATATTGTACGTTTGGTGTACGGAATAATCTACTGCTATTCAACATTTTTCCTTTCCCTGGAATCATAGTTTAAAGTGCCCTTTAGATCATTATATACATTAATTAAAACCATTTCACTTCCTTATGTATATCTGATACGCCTTCAGTTGGTACATTCGTAAACCAGCCCATTAATTTTCAGGTACAAATTCAATATGACGAAGGAGACTACTTTCGTTTTGTTTTCTATCTACTAACTAGAGTGAAGATTCCAAATTGTATAGAAGTCGTTACTCTTTATAGAGACTCCATTCGAACTAATTTTTATTTGTTATAAAATAGGCCCCCAAATGCCCTGGTACGGCCGAGAGTGGGGAGAGTCCACTCTCCCTCTCGAGATGCTCTCACATGGCCACGCGTATATAGCCTCTGTCAGGGAAGTCCTCACTGCCTTCTCGTGGCGAGGGTGTTGTTTACGAAAATGGGAGAACGAAAAGCGAATGTCCGGCGCTTTAACCGGATTTCAAACCAATGTTGCACATGGGCTCCAGTATCCTGCGGGAACAATTGGCCTATGATCCAGTTGTTGGTCACCGGTTACCATGGGACTGCATCTCCTTACGTTGCCCCACTGCCTTGTGGATCAGACCTTCAGGTCGAAGGCTCCGGGTGTGGCTCCGTAAGAAAACCACCTGCTTCGGTTTGGGCACTCGTTCAGTATCACAGCCCTCACACATATCAAATGAGATCTGTGTGGCGCATATGTATTTGGCGCCTCGTTGTACCAATATCTATGTGTTAAAATAAATAAATAACTGTTATAAAATAGCATCCTTATGTGCGAAATATTGACACAAAATACTCATGATAAAATTTCATAAGCAATTGGTAGAAATTTACTCGTATTCACTCACTGTGTTATCAAGTGAGACCTGATTTTTCAGTCTATTATTCAGACATTGCATTAATTTTACTCTATATACCTAATTTAATTTATGTCACCTTATCGGCAACTGAATTAATATCCATCCTAACGTTTAAATATGTGGTGGTATTAACGGTTAAAATATCGTTCTTGTCTTTGTCAGTGGCCTGCTTTTTCTGCAAACCTGGATCTTATTCGACTGCAGTATAAAGAGTTCTTTGAGGGAAAGTCATGGGCTGTTGTCTGTGCTCGTGGTTACTTCTACTGGCTGCATCTTCATGCTCGCTGCATATTTGGTGCTAACTTTGAGTTGGTCAATACACCTCTTGAGTCAGGCACTCACGATACATTCCCTCCACCGCCCGTATCTCCTCTGCATGCTGCAGTTATTGTTCGTATGCATGGTCAAACACTAGTGAAATTTATGCGTTTGTGTTGTGAGCAGAAATTACAAAATCGTTCCTGTACAAAACAGCAAGTTAAGGTCGGGATCGGGAAAGAAAATAAAGATCCGTCTGTTGGTCCCAAAAATTTGAAAAGGTTTGTTGAACCAAAGCCAGTACCTTCAGAACTCAAAGTATCTACCGCTGCTTGGTCTTCTGTTTCATTAACAGGTATAAGCAGTTGTTTTCTCAGCTTGTAAGCCTTTCTTATCACCTTAATTGTATAATTTATTCCTAATAATTTTATGGTACTTCATAAAATCTTATATTTTACCTTTATTAAAATGTCACAGGTCTGTTGAAGTTAAACATTTGCACCATTGGATTTCGGGCTAGTGGTCTAGAGGTTAAGTGCCTCGTGCGAGGCCGATGACCCTGGGTTCGGTCCTCCAGTTTTTTCGTAGATGTCCACTGCTAAAGAGCCCTGTACTAGGACGATAAAGCTGTCCAGTATTCTCAGGTTTCCATTGGTTGTCCAACTTAGGTTAGTTTATGATCTCTAAAAATTTACGTAGTTCTCAATCGGCGTTTGTTAGTATGCACAGTGTTTACCTCTAGCTTGTCGAATCTACTTATAATTATCCGTTGTTATTCTGGTTCGCACTTTTAAAAACGGTTTTATTAATCTTTAGGAACCTTTCATTACCATTATGTCAAGTCCCCTTATTCGGCTTAATATTTTTCTACCGCTTAGTATTCTTGAAAATTTCACAGTGCTCCGTTGGTTCCCGAATAAATACGCAACTTGAAAAGAACGTAAATATATTCCAAGCAAAACATTAATGTAAGGAATATGTCAGTGAATATATAAACTTTTCACAGGAATGTTTAGGAGTCTTCTTAGTTCACCCAGTGTTAACGGGACATCGATTGGATTAAAGCATGTTTCGTGCCCGATTGTGTTGATGCATGCTGATTGGCCATTTCTTATCCAATCCGCGCTAGTCGATACTTGAAGAAGATTCTAGAATTTTCTCATGTAAAAATTACAAATATACTAACTTTTCTCTTATTGTGCTTCCTACTTCCATCTACTCTTATTATTTGGAGTATGGTTTCGTTCCTGTCCAAATGTGTTCTTATTTGGGGACTTGTCGAGTGAATCGGTGTCCAAGAATACTATGCATCAGGAATAGCTAAGTCATAATAGGAGAAATTACAACATGCGGTAGCCCTGATCGATTGTAAGTGGAGCAATCAGCATAAATACTTACTTATGCCTGTTACCCCTCGTCAAGGAAGGAGCATACGTCGACCACCGGCATTGTCCATCGAACTCTGTCCTAAGCAATCTTTTCCACTTATTTCCAGTTGTCCATCCTTTTGATGTCTGCTCACAATTCTAGACGCAGTGTGTTCTTTGGCCTTCCTCTTTCCCGTTCCCTTTCGGAATTACAAGTTAACGATTGTCTCTTCATGAATCTTGGTGATTTCCACAATCTATGTCCTATCTACTTCCCATGTATTTCCTTAATTTCCTCTACAGCTGAAAGCTGGTTTGTTCTCTCCCACAGTAGGCTGCTGCTGATAGTATCCGGCCAATGGGTGTTAAGTATCTTGCGTAGACAACTATTTATAAATACTTGTACCTTGTTGATGATGGTTGTAGTAGTTCTCCAAGTTTCAGCTCCATACAGTAGGACTGTCTTCACGTTCGTATTGAATATTCTGACTTGATGATGTGTCTTTCTGAATAGAACGTGGAGCGTCTTTTCAGTTATTTCAATGTCCGACTTTAGTGCTTCAACTGGTATGTTGTCTGGTCTTTCAGTCTTCCCACTCTTGATTTGTCTAATGACCATCTTGATTTCTTCGACTGTTGGTGGAGTGTTCAGAGCTATAATAAACTCCTTGACTTTGTCAGTGTGTTGAAGGATTTCTGTATTAAACCTTTGTAATGTTGTTTCTCCGATTGTCGAGTGCTTGCTTCGCTTCAGTTTCATCTTGGCAACCACCAGATAAATGGCGATCTTAATCTATGCCAGTTCCTATCCTGCTTCTCAGGTCTTCCATTGGCCTTCTAAATATTTTAGTGATGCAAATACGATCAATCTGGTTCTGCGTAGTGTGATCCGGTGGAAGGCTTGTAGCTTTGTGTGTGTTTATGAGGAAGTATAGTACCATCAATAATCATTTTGTTGAATGCATATAAATTTGCGAATCCCTCACCATTCTCGTCCCTTCCTCTCAATCAGTCCATATTATCTTCATATCTGGTGTTGTCCATTCCGACTTGGGCGTTTAAGTCTCCCATTTGAATGGTCAGGCCCTTTCTTGGGCACGCCTTAACAATCGTTTGCAGCGTCGCATGAGACTGATCTTCATCGTCGTCGATGCTTTAATTGGTGGGTGCATAATATTGGATAACATTCATTGTGATTTCCTTCTTTGTGTTTGAAGTATGCTTTGATGATTTTGGATGCATGATATTTCCATCCCACAAGTGCTTTTCGTGCTTCTTTGAACTGTATCAGTATAACTCCTTGTGTGTGCAGAACATTTTGTTGCCCGTGACGAGTACAGCAGCATCTCTCCTGAATATAATTTCTTCTTTCCAGCTTGGGTCTTGTGTGCTTCACTGATTCCGAGCACCGACAATTTGTATCGCCTTATTTCCGTAGTTATTTGACTGGTTCTAACCGGTCTTTCACATTGTCCGGATATTCCGTGTACTTATATTAATTGTTGCTGTGATTGTTAGAAGGGACATCATCCTCGTGATTTCTTGAGAACCTCGGCATTCACCATGAGGTGTCATGATTCTTCTGAATGAAGATCGCTGAACTCGGAGTTTAAATTGTTTGTTGTGGTTAATGTATTTTATTAGGGTTGTTTTCTACGTGATGGGGTTGGTGACCTCTTACCTAACCTTCCTCCTTTATCTGGGTTCGGGAACGACAATAATCCTAGAACAGCTACAGGCGGAGTTAGTAATATTCACACTGCAATATAATCTTATCTGTGACTCGCTTTTCTCAATTCTCTGTCCTGCTAACAAAAGGTATATTAACTGTATTTGTTATTTATGCATTATTGATTAGTCTCACCTCATCGATTATTAAATATACTTTTTATCTCCTAAATAACATGACCGACACTTCGAAACTAATTACTGATTAAGTGCTGCTTCCAGAGAAGATGGAAAATTTGATGGATTGATTTGGAAATCAATCTAAATGTCTTGTTTGACATAATTTAACTTTGACTATAACTTTTTAATAAAACAGGATAAAATCTTGACTGCACTGAAAATATTTATTTTCGAACTCTAGGGTTTTTCATAACTGGCAATCTATCATTAGCGTTCAACATGATTTAAAACTACTTATACTCCTACGCTATTATCTTCAGAAAAAGTTTGCAACTCATCTAGTGACCATGATTGATAAACATTTTTCTGATTGTCATATATCGTCGCATTGTAATTGAGAACTATGATGTTGTTGATTATTTCTAGATAATGAACTACTTAATCTGTGGTTGGGAACGCGACTACTTTTATACGGTTGCCATCAAACTGCTGAGTTATATACGCTTCTAGGTACTGTAAGAGAAGCACGTGTGTATCAAAATGAGTTATTATGCGTTGGCCAACGTTTTCACTTATGCAGTTAGTAAGTTAATGTATAAAAGTTAATACATTCATTGTACTATTCAGATTTTACAGATTAATTAAATACAGCTGAGATTTTCGGGAATCACATACACAGAGTCCATTTGTACCAACGTTTTATGTTTGCCTTACTTTGTTTTAGTACACAAATTGCTCTGAACTTAATGGCACATCTAGATATGTTTGCTCAACGTCAATGGGCTTTTGAATTACGTCTGCGACAGCTAAATCACATTGCAACATGTCAAGTGTCTCTTGAGGAACTAGTCACTAAAAGAACTAAGCAAAACTCAAAAGTAAATTTGAATTCAAAAGCTACCACGGAAATTGATGAGTCTGCTTTTATTCATTCTAAAACATTTCCCAATCAATCTCTCTACAATGGTCTTGGTGAGAATCAGTTGGTGAAAGATACGACGGTAGTAAATTCTTTGTCAAACGATTCATTTTCCGACGGTTCTAATCCTCTTTTGTCCGGCTACAATAGACCATTCAGTTCAATTTTTTCTAGTAGTCCAACACGACGTACATACTTTGATAACAAAAGTGAAGCGGTTGATACCTATCCAAGTGCTACCCAAATTGCTTCCGCAATCGCTGGACAACGACTTACCTCAGAATGGAATGAGTGGTACAGTAAAGGATTCTATATACCTCACACTGTCGATTTTGCCTTTGAGTCTGTAAGCAAGTCCTTCCTGAGTGTTGGTGGATTACCTCTAGGAACCTGTGTTTGTTTAATCCTTAATGGGGTTTCCTGGCCTTGGTTGTTTAACTTGACTCAGGTAGTTCGAAATGAACTGTTACCATCCCCTCATTTCTTACCTGCTTTGTACACTGTTCCATTGGCGCATGTCAAAGCAGCTGTAAAAACTCGTAATCATGTAAGTAAACTTTCGATACTGTTTTCCTCATTTATTTATTTAACTGAAAATTTCTTTTAACTTATAATGATAAACCCAGTCAATCGTTCACTTCCTTTTATAGATTACAATTACTTAGTTTACTAACTTCACATTGGTTCTCACGAACCTAAGGATATTATAACAGTTTCGGAAGCATTCTGAACTTTATACCCAAAAGTAAGGAAATGATAGAAATCAGGATCACTAGTTAACTACGTTGCACTTATGATAGAGATTTCTCGCTAACGTATATGTGCAACGGTCATCATTCAAACTTATGTAACTGATAAATTTGCCGCACAAATAGTGAGTGAAATGAAAAGTATGAAATCAAATAACTGTTAGGATATCTATGTTATGATAATACATCTGGAAATGACTCTCTATTGCTGTTTTCAGGAAAAAATTATATTAATGACTACATATTTCTATGATGAGCCAAGTTCAGTTTTATTACTTTCCGATATGAATTACTGTCAAGGGTTCAATACCCTCACTCTAATAAGTTTTTTGTTGATTATACTTCCCTTCTAAGTAAACTCTATGTTTATAACCACCTACCAATAATCATTCCGTTGTATATTTTACGGTTGGGTAGCATGTACATGATGACTTGTAATATTGTTGATAGTACTCCAACAGAAAATGAGATCCCTATAATGTAACTGGATTTGAGGTTATAATTGTGGGTTAAATGTTCTAAATAATTCAATATTTAAAAGGGTAACATCACACCTGTATCGCTGTTGTTTATTATGTCCCTCTAAATAAGGTTTATCGAATAAAACAAACATCATTCTTTTGTCGTATTCATGTTAAGATTAAAATCGTTTTTTTGTAGCTCATATTCGGACATAATCTTCATGTTAGTCAACTATAATCCCTCTAAATTCATGTTTTTCGTATTTTTTGTGACTTTCCAATCCCTCGCTGATTTTGTAGGGAGAGCCTAATAAAAATAAAGATCTCATAGAAGCTTTTTCATTGCTCAGTATCACTCCTACAGAAAATTCATCAGAAACGTGGAATAATAATATTGAAAAATCATCGTCACCTCAACTTCAGTCAAAGAAAGATTTTCATACTGGCAAACAGTTACCACCTCCTGTACCTAAACCAAATGCTCCCCGTCGTCCAGCAGATAACCGAAACAAAACTAGTTTAAATATTTCACCACACAACAGAAGTCGCTGTCAATCATCCCGTGAGTCATACCATTTAATTTTCAAAGTCTAGTCCTGTTTGTATTATCTAAACATGATACTATGTGGAGCGTTGGATTCCTAAATCCATCTTCCTACTATTCATCTCTTATAGTTTGAAATCCCGTTTAATTATCTACCAATACAACCTAACCAAGTAAATATTGGAGTATAAAATCCATTTTAATAGTACTCTGGTTCAAGTTACTACGCCGCGCAACAAAAGTAAATATATAAAGATGAAAACTACTGACATAAATGAATATTTTAAGTATTTATTCGGTATCTTAAGTACATTTGAATGAAGAGTAATGACATGTTTGATAAGTAGACGAAGACAATTATTAAGTACATTCGGACCCTATTACTTATTAGCCTGTCTAGTTGACCTTTTATTTTTATATTTAAATGCTCTTAACATGTATATGTGTGACCAGGTTGTTCAAAATGTATTGCGCTAATATATCACATAGTTCTGATAATCTTCGTCTTCTAATATCATTATCGAAATTTATTTTATTTCGTTATTTAATATTATATATATATATATATATATATATATATATAATTTATACTACTCTAAAGCTTGTCAATTGATTGTTTGCTGAATTTTTATCCTCTTTCATGCCAATTATTTTTCTCTATAGATTATCAACAGGTTGGTAAAACCACTGAAATTAATGAGGTAACTATAGAATCCACAATACAAACTAGACGCTGTGATAATCCCTTAACGAATAAAGGTATTATTTTAGATAATCATGAAGCAGACAATGAAATATTGATACCATTACTTGGTTATACCTTTCGAAAACCAGCTAATTCTCAACCTCTGGAAATATATTGTGACCATTTGTCCAAAAATAAAGTGAGTTGACATTGGTTAAAACATTTAATTTCTTCTTTTAAAGCTAGTATGTATTTTTAGTTTTTTGATTACCTCTACTTTGAATTGTTTAAACAGTATGTCAGTCATGCTTAAACGTTCCGAATTTTATCCACTTTAGAACTGGAATGGGTGGTTTGTTCCGGTTTTTTGCATTATTTTAACTGAAACGACTCATTTTGTTCTAACTTCGATACCGAAGGTCCTGTATTCGATTTCCGGATGTGACATCGAGGATGTACACTGCTGTGGTGTCCCATACTAGAACGAACTAGTCGTCCAACGCTTCCAGGTTTTCGACTATGATCTAGCTAAGATCAGTTCGTAGTTTAAACCTATAAAAATTCTGCAATCTACACAAATATTCGTATTGTGATGTATTTTTATCTTCTTTCAATCTTATCCATTATTTGCCGATATATTACAGTAAAATAGAAATAAACCACGTCAGTTTTTAAGACATTTTTAACCAGTGATTGACTCCTCACCATAATTCACACATTTTCGTATTAGTACTTAGAAAGTAGTTTTTATATTTCATCCTTGTTGTCATTTAGTACACTTAATTTCGATTACTGTCCAAGTTGAGCTTTTGTCTTCGATTTTTATAACAGTATTCTGAATGAAAAAGTTCATGTTCTTACCTTTTAGATAAAACCCCAATAACCATTTTTTATCATACTAACAATATCAGTATTTCTGTTTTGTGTTATCTGTCTGCGAATAGCACAACACAAAATGAGTTGATGATATATGCCATTTCCTGTTTTATTGGATAGACCGAATCTAAATAATTTTCCGTTTTAATGAACATTGAAATCATTTAGTTCTAACACTCAAACTGTTTGTATTCGAATGAATTAGTTAATTCTTAGTAGTTGGAAAAATCATTTCAACTCCTTTGCTATTCATCTTGTCACTTTCATCTCGTTTAACTGATGTTTTCTGTCGATCGGATGAACATACATTGAGTATGACTGGACTATGTACCTCCACTTTTTTGATATTTCTAAAGATTTCTAAGTTGATTGTTTATAATTACCACTTTTCCCTTCACACGTCTCTTCCGAAATTGTTATTCCCTGTATTTTTTTAAATATACGTACACATTTAATCAGTGTGAAGTTTTAATTTAGTTGAACTAGTCCACTTGGTGAACCGTAGTATTTTCCTTTTTCTCTTTGATACACCATTATCGCTGCTACAATCAAATAGACTTCTCAGAAAATTCGCATAATATGTACACTTATGTTTAGGTTAAATTGTACAGTGACAACTAGCTTCTTAGCGAAACATGATATGTGTTTTAAACTTAGGTTTGTTTAGATACAGAGGTAACTTAGTAATGACTTCATGAATCTTGTTACCTATTACTATCTAGGAGACAGTGCGATTCATCTTCGTTATAATGATAATGAGGATAGGAGAACGACGACAAAAAAGATTAGACTATCTGGGACCCAAACTTAGACCTCATATTATTAATTATCTACTTGGCATGTTATGTGATTTTCTGGCTATATGGTGAGTGAGCGTTGGACAACTGGATTTCGAACCATTAGGCCTTAGGTAGTACTCTTCGCTGTTTTCTCACTGTCATCGTATGATTGGTGTTATGTAGACAATCCTGGTGAAATAGTAATTGGAATAGATCGTATAGCTGCTCTCCTGTAATTACAGTTCTCTCACACGGGCCCCAATATCATCTAAACATCTGTTTTTTTCCCGTTATTTCGTGGTCGTATTTTAACTACAATTAACCGGTCCATAAACTTGACTTTCTGGATTTTTACTACTCAGTGAATATGCATTTCGAATTTTCATTATATTTGTAGTAATGATTTAGATTAAATCATATTTAATTTTTGAACACCATAAGCTGTTAAGGAAATTAGTTTTTAAGTATTTGTACTTTGTATTTGTTATATCATGTATTCACCATTAAACTTTTCATTCAACAAATACAGAATGTTTTGAGGAAAAGAGAAAACAAAAATATAGGCTCGGGCAAAGGCCGTACCATAGTTCTAGACCCAGTGGAATCATGTTCTTCTTTAATTGATGCGCCTTTGCGTCCACGTAGCGTCAGGTTAGCGTCCAAGTGGGCTGCTAATCAAATCAAGACAAAATTGGTCAATACATTATGTGAAGAAAATCCTCTGTTATCAGAGAATATAGATCAGATGAGTCAGGTTTCTAATAATATGGCTACACGTTTGTATGGCGCTTATCAGCAACTATCTAGCTTTCCAGTCCCAAATCTATTACGTCCTATATGCCAATGGCTGGGTATTTATTGGTTAGGAAAAGGTGATCAACTACAAGCGGGAAGATTTTTATCTCAAGCTATCGGTATTGGACCCACAACCTTGTACTTATCTATCTTAAGCTCTCGGATAATGTAAGTTTTTTTTACAAGAATTTTACCACTTGATCTCATGAAAATACACATGTTATAAGGAAAACCATATTGTTGATTCATACATTTCGAATTTTTTTAAACCAAGATTATCTTAGATCTCGCATCTTAGTTAATCAAATGCTAACTTAGTATGGGTTCGTATTGTTAGCTTAAAGCTATAAATCTTGAATGAGATTTATTAATAATACGTAGTTACATAAGTCAATGTATGTTGAAAGAAATTCAGTTCTGTGACTTAGTCAAGATTATTGTATATTGTTGTATATCTACGTGCCTGGCGTGGTAGATTTATCTAGTTGTCCATTTTGCCTCTGGTTTATATTTGGCCTATCCACGGATAATATATAATTCATTTGTGTACTCAGAATTCCATTAACGGCTTCAATTTCTTCTGAGTTCTTTTCAGATTACTTTTGCCTAATATATATATATTATAATGCAATCAATATATACACTAAATGTGTTTTCTTATATTATTTGTTTGACACTAATTAGATTCTTATGTTATTGTCACTTAATCATTTATATTTTTTATACCAGTCATTTGAAGTCATCTGATTCTCAAGATTCTGTTTCTGATCGCAGCAAAAAATGTAAATGGTTCCCTATTTTGAATCGAGTAATGACTGTTTGTGCTCCTAATAATTTTCTAATGGAAAATGTAATTCAGATGCCTACTTGTGACGATAATAGTTCACTTACAGTTCGGGTTATTCAACTCTGTCTTGTTGATGAACTCAGTTGCAAGTCTAATTTAATTGATAAAAGTGATGATATTTACCATCACACTATTTCTCCATATGGACTCGGTGCTCGTTCCGGAGGTTACTTACTAGTATCGCGTTATATAGGTATTTCTGGTCAATCTTTAAGAACATTTGAAGTGGAGACACGTGTTATGCATGGATTCACTCATTCTGTAAGTTCATAAAAAAGAAAATTTAAATTGTACAATGTTGCTCATTTCTATACTACACGTGTGACTAGCATAACAGCTGTTATTAAAATTATTACTACCTCAATGAGAATAGCATAATATTTTAACTTGTTAACTTAGTTCAAGTGAAATTGAAATCGTCCAATGATAATAACTAGTTTACCAATTTTTTGTCTTCATTGACTGAAGATTCGACTACATCAACATATAGAAATCTTTTTTTAACTTAGTAGTGTTTAAAACATAATTACAACTAACGTTTTTAATAATCCATATAGACTTTCTACAGTATAATTGTAACATATATTGCGAGAAGTTACGAAGTATTTACATAATATATATACGTAGCGTTCAACCGTCCATTTGCCTCCTTCCGAGTGTTCTGCCAACTCCGTAATTTCGCCGCACTGAAACTTTTCACTCTGTCTGAATACTTCAAGGCCATGTTTCGCAACATACTGCTGACAAACAATCTTGTGAGTAGCGTGCACTAAAATAATTCAGTGAATCCGTGCTTTCGTTTGTTGTGATGAAGTAATTTAGGAAAATTGTCACGTAGTTAGTCATTAATTGTGTTTTCATGCATTCCATGTTTATGTAGGTCTTCCAGTCTACAGATGTTAGACATCTGGATTTAAGTTTTCTACGTTCTTCAATACAATATTAAACATTTTAAAGCTCGTTTAATATGATTTATCACGTCTTTCCTTCATGATGGTATCTACGTATTTTACCAGTTGTCTAAGCTGACTGTATGCTAAATCAATTAGGATTATTATTATTTGCTGCCGAAGTTTTTTGTGATATATATACATCACTGCTATAATTTATAATTCATTTTAGAATTTGCATTAACTCTATTGGTTGTAAGCATTATCATTTTTCATCTGTGTATCTGATTTTACCGTATGATTATGTGGATTAATAAGTACCAATTTTTTAACTCGCTGTAGATAAACTCCGTTTGCTAGCACAAAGGTTACTTTGTTTTTAGAACAACACAATATTCTACAGTAACTAATATCATCATCCTAACTTGTTGGGATATTATATTAAACTAATTCAATGAATTTAATGTTATTTTATACAGCGTTATTCCTAAAGCTGGACAATCATATTTATAGTTATTTGGCTCAAATATACGTATGATAAAACAAGTGGATACTCCATTGATTAAAAGTTAGTGGAAAGTGTTTATATGTATCAAGAATAAATAATGTGAAGTAATGAGAAATAAAAAGGTAAAAAGTTACTTAAATGGAAGATAATTGTTCACCCAAAGAACATTTTAAAAAATTGAATATGAAGACGTATTCTCGTTACCCTTCTTCAGGTGGAACATTGTTTTTTTAAAATAACACTATCTTATCTGCAATTTAAATAAAACTTATTCTAAATCAATCTTTTCATGTTTATCTTTTCCAAAGGGTTTTAAATATATGGATAGTTTTGATGAAATTCAGACGGAGAGTCTTGATTCGATGGCTATTGAAGATCGTGCTAATTACTGGCGTATACGTTATAACTTGGATGAACGACTAGAAGTATGGCATGTTTTTCATGGTGTTTATTGCGTGTGCCTTCCCTTATTTTATGTGCGAAAACAAAAGCTTTTTTAAGTCTTATTCATTTAGCTTTTTCATTGACATTTTCTTCGTTGAAGAAAATTCGTTATCTCTTTTTCATTGTTTTTCATTTTAGTTTTGATCTCATTACCAGAATATATATAAGTACAATTATTCGTTTCTATTAAGTTAACTAACGTAGCTCATTTCTAAATACTGATTCGTGCGCTCAACGCTGAGCCACATTGTTTGTATGAAGGTTAGTGATACTACCCATCCCCCCCCACACTGAAACACATGAGACCGGGGTTCTATGTTTCCACTTACTAATTAGAAGTTTATGTCTTTTGCCACTCAGTCACCTCTTCACTTTATTGTGTTTAAGGTTTACTACATTGATTGCAGTTTGCTTTATCTAGAATGTGCCTTTCTTATAAACTAACACATTGGCAATATGTTTCTTATGCAAAAAAGCAATATACTACTATCCGACTAGTTTCCATGTTTCCTATTTTATTAATGTAAAAACAATTTTCGGAGTGTGCAAACGAAATAGTTCTCGATATTACAATTAATGTTACCACAAACATAGGTGATTAATCAGTGGTCGTTTTGTGACCTTGAATTTCATCTGTGATTATTCATTTGTTAACTTACTGGTTAATTATAGTCATGCTATTTAAATCAAATATTTTTTATATCAATAATATGGTTATTATCTCAGCATACTTCCAATTACCCACTCTATTGACAAGTGGTTCTCATTTCGATCCGATTCGAATAGTGGTATATAATAGTTTGACCATCTCTATCATTACTCGTAATTTTATAATTCAACTGAACTGTTATCATAAATGCAAGCATTTTTCATATTCATTTAAAATCGTAATTTATTTAATGTATATAAGCACATTTTAATTTGGCCACTCTATTTACTGACACTGGTCAAAATAGCAGGACATCCAAGGCCAGTATACTATCAAAACTCTACAAATTCAATACAGTAAATGATTTCAACCTTGCTGAAATAGCTAACATGTTTACTTTCAAAATATCATTTCTCTCATCAGTTATATTTTACCACAACTTAGCTACCTATGTAAATCCTTTCAACCTATGTTCCAAGGATTGTTATCTTAATATATGGTAAAACACAATTTCTGTCTTTTGAATACTTCGGAATTTTTGTGTTTTTCAGATAAGTTTCCACTTATGTACTTCGGTATCTATAATTTAAAATTAGTGTCTAAATAGATCGACAGGTTGCTAAAACCAAAAGATTTATGTGGTCAATTTACTTTCCAAGCGTTCTATTTTCGAATAATGCTTTTTAACATGCTTCATTATATATCTTTACGTGTATTACTTGTATGATGATGTATGATTTAATTCACCCATATAATTCTTAATTTTCAAAATCCGACAAATTAGTTTCTTCATAAATAAATTTCAGTTTTATCCCAGCATTCATTTTTAGTCCTTTGAAATAATTTTGTAGAATTTACTTACTGAAATGCGTCGTGAATGGTTTACTAAAGATGATCTAGATTGGTTATTCAGTCGAGAGAAATATTGTCGTAATAATGAACTCAAAAATGATTATAACCCTCCTTCTGTAGTCATTATTCCGGATCGAGTAAGTTTAACACTAGCTTTTCTAGCACACTCAACTATGTATTGATTTTTTGGAATATTTTTTGTGTAGTTAAATAAAATAGCATTAATATTTACTTAGTGTTCTGTTTAGGGTCTGCTTATCTAACGTACACAAGCAAAGGCGTACGTAGCATTTTTAGCTTTGTACTTCTATTTACTTTATTCTTTGGGAATTAAATTAACTTTTCGGTTGTCATGAATAAATAACTGTTTGCAAGTCTTTTATGTTATATTTGAATGTGCAGATTTTCTAAACTATTCTCTAGTCCTCACCTGTTTGGTTCAATTCTCGTAAGTGTGAAAAAGTTCTTCGACGAGACGCATTTACCTTGCGTAAAAATCTAAAGACCTTCCAAGCAACTGGTGAAAGTAATCTTGTTGAATAACTTTGTGACTGCACTTGATTCACATTTCTGATGTTCGCAGGATTAATGAGACAAGTAATAAAGAAATTCATGCAACTGTAATCCCAATAACCAACTAGGATGTACGATGTTTACCTTTTATTACTATTCTTACAATAACAAGACTAGGATGATTATCCATTGTAAAATCGAACCTCTGTAAAGTCGATCTCAATTGTACATCACGTTTGCTAAATAGGCGTCAGTTATTATTTACACTTGAATTTAACATGTTTGTTTCCGAAAACTAACGTACGTCCATGGTTAAATATTTACTATCCAACTGAACACAGTGTCAGAACATCAAGTTCCAAAAGTCAGCTGGGATTACATTTTCAAAAGACCAAGAACATTAACTCGTGGGGTTATAGTGTTATCAATTATCCCGTTTTTATATTGGGATTTAGAATATACCCACACAAAATCCAAAAATGAAAGCTTTTGACGACAAGGATGATATTTATGCTATTTGGTGATTTGTTGACAAACAGCGTTTTTTAGCTGCTCTTACAATAAGAGTTGTAGCAACGTATAGCATAGTCAATTATTACTTCATAAAGTCAAAAAACATATTGACTTTAATATTCGCTCAGAAGAGGGACATTCCATGTATTTTTATCCACTCTGTAGTAAGAATATACCGATAAGTTTCAATTACGACCTAACTTGTGAAAGTTATTACACTAAGTGTTTTTAGTATCACCACTTATCAATCAATACAATATGTATCCTATCATATATGTTGATTAAAATACATCAAGTACCTAATACTTCATGAACTGATTTTTGAAACCGCGTAGTGGAGAGAGGTTTCAGTTCAGTTGGGTTTTGGGTATCAAGGTGAATCCAGAGATTCAATTTCCTGTTTGATAGATTGAATCGCACTAGCCCCTTTGACCAGTTTAGATTACGTCTGTCGCTTTTTTAGTTTTGAGATGATGCTTTCCTAGTTTATTACAAATAACTTATAAAACGTTTGTTTTTTGATGACCAGATGTTATCCTTCTCATTTTTTTATATCTTGTCTTTCTCACTCTCTAGCGACTAGTTTATTTACCTTGGGAATGGATACTGTGGGATCGTAATCCAACTTCATGTACTCCAACAATGACTCGTAGCTTCAGCTTACCTTTAGTTGTTGGTCATTTGGCAACTCAGTATATGCCCTGTCAGAATATTGAGGCTAACATTTCTCCCAATACTGAACATATGGAATTACGTTCTTTTAATCCTGAGCGTGCATTTTATATCCTTAACCCAGAATCCAACCTACCCTCTACTCAACAAACCTTTGAACCGATATTCCACAACCTATCCAGTTGGACAGGTGTCATTGGAAGAATTCCAACTTTAGAGGAGGTGAACAATGGTTTCACAAATCATGATCTTCTAATGTACGTTTGAAAGTGCTTTCATTAAACTTATTTTCTTTCCATGAAAAGGATGTATATTTTAATTATTCTCGTTAAACAAGTAAAACTTTTGTTTTCGTAGGCTTGTCGACACTTAAATATTTTGCTTATCGTTTTGTTATTATTAGTCAATAATCTGTTTTGTTATCCTTTATCAATATATTTCTCAGCAGCTGTCTATTTACTTACGTGCATTCGTTTTACTTACGTGCATTCGTTTTACTTACAGATTTTTGGGTCATGGAAATGGTTCGCAATTTCTACTACACACTTTCAATCAAGGTCTCAATGCACGCTCCGTTACCTTGATTCTTGGCTGTAGTTCCGGTAAACCTCGTAGTGCTGGACGACATGAACCTTATACTTCACTATTTAATCATCTTATTGCTGGATGGTATGTGAATCGTATTTTGTATTATACATGTAATTAGTTAGACTAGCTTGCCATTTTATTCTATGTAAACTATTTCATCTACCATCAAATGAGTGAGTAGTACTCAAGTGTAACCTTTGTACTATCTTTATGGGTAGAATAGTAGATCACTTTTCTCCAGCTCAATATATTCAGCCTTATGAGTTTGTTTTATTTCTAAAAAGTTTTTTATTACCATAACGGTATATCCACCATATTTTAATGATATCTTATCTTTATAACAAGTAAATCTACGTTTTTTATTTCTCTTATAGTCCCTTTGTTTGCGGATTGTTATGGGATGTTACTGATCGGGACGTTGATAGATTTACTTTAAAATTCCTGACTAATTGGCTGGGAAAAGATGGTTCTGATGACGGACGTGATGCAAAACCACGTGGAACTTTAGGACAGTCTATTTTTAACGCAACTTCGGCTTGTAAACTGAAGCATCTTGTTGGAAAATCAGTCATTGTTTATGGGATCCCCTCTGAACCTAAAAGAAGATCACTTCTGAAATTTCCATCCTCACTTGTTAAAAAATGAATTGGACTTCTTACAATTTGACGTATTATCTTGAATTATTGTACATTACCTGAATTGTGTAGATTAATTCTAATGGACGTTCTGCTCCGTTTATCTATAGTCCTCAAATTTTGAACCTTTTTTACTTGCTTTGGTCGGTCGTTTGTAAATGTGTTTAAGTTGTTTTCTAACCAATTTTACCTACATCATGGATCTTTCTTTTTTTATTATCAGAGAATATATTAGTGCGTTGCTGTGATTTCTCTACCAACCGGGTTAGTTTAATTACAATTAATGAAACGTAAACCGTATCTACTCCCGAACTTAATATTTGGTTATTAAATTCGGTCACCCTTACACGCCGCGAACGGCTTATTCTCTAAGTTGGTTGGACTGACAGTAGGTGCTTCTACTGCCACCAAGGGCGATGGGACAGTGCATGACGCCGTTGTTGTGTGCTGGGTTCAAAGAGACCTATGCTATATGCATGCAGTTTGCCCCATTATTTCTCCTCGGAACCCAAATGCCTTCACGTGTTCTTGAGTATAAATTCACTGTTGGAGAATTCCCACTCGCTGCCTTTATGTGGCGGGTGTGTTAACTTAATTTAGAGGACAGATAGCGAATGTTCTGCGTTTTAATCGGGTTGGTAGACACAGAGGGCCCACCTATGGGAGTTGAAAAGCTTCAATTCCAGACCAATGCCGCACATGGTCTTCAGGATCCTTTTGGAGTCTATTGTTTGTCACTCGCTAACGTGGAGTTGCATCTCCCAACGTTGACCCACTGTTTTGTGGATTAGACCTTTAGGTTATATGCTCGGGATATGGCCCAAGAAAACAACCCACTTCGGTCTGGGCACCTGGGTTATATCGCAGCTCTCATAAACAAAATCATAGTTACTAGTTGAGAAGTCATTCTTGCTTCAAGTCTCAGTCAGATAATCACTTGGTAAAATTCGTTTTCATTTGTTCTATGCCGTATCATTTATGTACTTCCCTTTATTCTCACTTTGCACATTTTATTTTTCAACTTATACAGCAGCTCACCTATGGTGGAAACCCTATTTTGTCTAAAAGATTTCAAGACACTGACTGGTCGACAGTTGAGTGCTACCATCGAACACGAATTCTGAAACCATGTAATTCATACGGACTGGTTATTTATTTATTTCAACACATATTTATTGGTACAGGAGTGCGCCAAATATATATGCGCCACACAAAACAATGAGAATTTAAGAAGAAAAAAAAGAGGAACGCAAAAAATTTTTTTATTTAAACAAAACAATAATGAAGAGATTGGTGTAAGGGAGTGTAGTAATAATCATCGTCATAATGGGGGAACGGAAAGGTACAATCAGAAGAAATCTTTCAGTTAAGGAAGATACAACCACATTTTATGAAGAAACTAAAAGAAGGTTACATCAGGATCGCCACTGGCTTCTATTCTCAGCCATATCTGATAACGTCTCTAGCCATTGTGTCGCACCACCTCTCGGACCCCAGCCAGGGAGTCGTGAATGACCAACACAAGCCAGTCCTTTGCAGCTTTCTTTCATACCACGACACCATGTCATGCACTGACCACCTCTCTGCTTATTCCAACCAGTCCCAGAGTCCGCAAATAGTGCACGATGTGGAATTCTCTGGGACGACATTCGTAGAACACGTCCAAGCCACCGACGTCGGTGTTTCAAGATGGTGACACCAATTAGATTACCGTCTCTGTGCCTGAACACACGATGCCGAACCTCTACACTACTAACATGATGTTGCCACTGGATGTCAGCAAACCTTCGGAGACAACGATGATCGAATACAGAAAGTCGTCTAACGTCCTCAACTCGGAGAGGCCAGGTTTCACAAGCATAGAGCAAAACTGCTCTCACCGACGCGTTGTAAATCCGACATTTTACAGCCAGACTAACATCACGAAGGCACCAAAGATGGCCCAGATTGGCATAAGCCGCTCTGGCTTTCACTATACGTGCATTGATCTCATCACTCACACCCCCATCAGCACTTATGCAGCTACATAGATACACGAACTTCTCGACTACGTCTATCTGCTCACCATCCAGGGTGAGTACAGTATTGGAATCCTGCCAGTCTTGTAGAAGAACTTTGCACTTCGAAGGTACAAACCACATACCATACCTACGGACACTGATTACCAACTGATTAAGTGCGGATTGCATGGCTTGGGCATTATCGCACAGTAAGACAATATCGTCCGCATACTCAAGGTCGAGAAGTCTTTCTCCAGGCAACAGATCCACACCACCATTACTTACATCCATCAGAGCTATTTCCAGAATGTCGTCGATCGCAAAGTTGAAGAGGAATGATGAGATTGGGCAACCCTGTCTAACCCCACTGCTCGAATGGAACAATGGAGAGAGGTGGTTGTATGCCCTCACTCTGCCTGAGGTGTTTTTATATAGGGCTTTTAGGATGTTGATAAGCTTCTCAGGCACACCCTTCTTCAATAGACAATCCCAGAGAACAGTCCTATCCAACGAATCGAAGGCAGCCCTGATGTCAAGAAACACTACGATTGTTGGCCTTTGAAAAGTATGGCGGTGTTCTAACATTTGGCGGAGGGTGAAGATATGATCAATACATCCTCGACCAGAACGAAACCCAGACTGCTCCTCGCGAGTCAATCTTTCTCGGGTTTTGAACAACCTACGAAGTATGACGGGAGCCAATAGCTTGGACGCAATCGGAAGTAGACTTATCCTCCGATAGTTGTTACAGGAACGACGTGAACCCTTTTTAAAGATAGGGACAACTATCGACTCATTCCATGACGTTGGTACATTCTCTAGCTCCCACAACTTTGTAAACAACGTCGTCAGTCCCTTAGTCAGAAAGTCACCACCATCTTTAAAAACAGCCGGAGGTAAGTCATCTGGGCCAGGTGATTTGTAGCGCTTCAAGAGTTGGATTTGCTTGCGAACTTCCTCCTCGTTTGGTGGATCAGTCGTCACCGGCCATGGAGGGCAGGACAGTCTGACCGATGTTGCCGAAGCAGCAGGCCAGTTGAACTGCCTTTCGAAAAATTCTGGCCATCGTCCAAGACGTCGATGGACGATAGTGATTGGCGTATCGTCATCCTCGCACATTGTTTCGCTCACACCAGACTTCTTGCTGCCAGTGGCTCGGATGAGTTGGAAGAGCTTCCAGTAGTTACCAGATGCAGCTGCTGCTTCTAGCTCATTAGCACGCTCTGACCACCGAGCTTCTCGGTCCTCACGCAAGCTTTGCCCAACTTCTTTACGTAACATCCTTCATTTGTGGTCAAACTCACGGTCACCCGGAGTAGACCGACGGACTTCAATGAGTTGTAAGGAGCCTGGAGAAACCCAGTGCCTAAAGGCGGGACGTTTCGCAAGCCTACAGCTGACTGTACCCGCCATTTTCATGGCGTCATGCAATTGCAACCAATGCTCATCCATACTTTTCGGTGAAATGGTAGCTAGCCTAGAAATTAGCTCGGTTCGTTACTTACTTGCAACAGGAGTTGCAACCAGCTTGCTAACATTAATCCGTTGGTGGCGGTCACTTCGTTGTCCACTGAAAAGTAAGGCAAGATTGGCGCAGACCAAGGCATGGTCAGAGTCCAGATAGGTACTCCAAAAGCAGCGGCAGTCTTGTACACAACCACGCCAGGTGTCACATCGGCGATGACTGTGCCGAAAGTTAGTACTAGTCAGAAACAGGTTGTGGTCTGTGCACGCTTGCAGTAGACGGTCCCCGTTGTCTGACCTGCGACCAACAAGTCCCCATCGGCCACCTAAACGACTCTCTTCTGTGTCTAGACGCCCGACCTGAACATTCAAGTCTCCGGCTAGTACTACAATATCTGTCGAACGCACTTTCTGGAGAAGAACAGATAACTGGTGGTAAAACTCATCCTTGATTGCATCCGGGCTGCAATCTGTCGGGGCATAGGCGGAGATGACGAAGAGACATCGTTTCTCATGCCGATTTCTCACTTTGATGGAACTCTCTAATCTAACAGCACATAACCGACTGTTAATGGGGATCCAATCGATTAGTGCTGCCTCAGCTCTAGCGCTTAGTGCGACACCAACGCTAGCAAGACTAGACGGAGATGCCACAGGGTCCCCGGATAAGCGCACGTGAAACAAGCTTTTTGAAGCGACAGATGGAGAGCGAATTTGTAGTACTTCACCAGAGTCTTGAATACGGGTCTCGGATAGACAACAATCATCAATATTAAGACTTTCCAAAGACATAGCCAGCGCTATCTGTTGTCCGACCTGCATAAATGTGCGAACGTTGAAGGCAGCCAGTTTGAATGGTGCACGTGGTTTAAGAAAAACTGCTTCAGTACTCATATTCAGTGGTAACATACAATTTTCAACCGGACAGTGACTCGAGAACGTTTAGATACAGTCGAATTTCCACCATGGACGAGCTGCTGTATAAGTCGAGAAGAATAAGTATAAGCAGAGTAGGAATAAAAGAGGGTGAATAATGGCGTAGTAAATACTAATACTAATAATAATAATAACAATAATAATAATAATAATAATAGCAATAATAATGATTGAATCAATTGAATGTTCGTCGAAGCAAGAGAATTAGTTTCCATGATCATAGACAGTTCAGTTCAGTTCATTGTGTGTGGGCTGTGATACTGCACGGGTGCCCAGACCGAAGCAGGTGGTTATCTTAGGGGGCCACACCCCGAGCCTTGTCTTTACAAAGTCTTAGTATCGACGTCTGCTGTCTCTCCGAGACCTATATTCAAGATCCGTGAAGTATTACAAATTCGCTCTCCATCTGTCGTTTAGAAAAGCTTGTTTTACGTGCGTTTATCGGAGGACCCCGTCATATCTTGGTCTGGTTTTGTTGGTGTTGCACCAAGTTCTTGATTTGGGACATCACTGATCGTTCGGTTTTTTTTTAATGGCTTTATTCAATATTATATTTTGGTACAATATAGAATTCTCAGCACAGGGTATTTCAACAAGTTACTTACTGAACAACGAACAAAAAAAAGACAGTAGCGAATATATAAAGAAATATATAAAATAAAAATTTAAAAACAAAAAACAAAAGAAACTACAAACTTTTAAAATTAAAGACATGTTAAGAATGTAAGTTATTGACTAAGTTAATTCTAACAACCTGTTCGTCACAGAGTATATTTGCTAGGTAAGGTATAATAGAACTT